TGAAAAGCGACAAGAGCGAGCGGCATGTCCAGATGTGCGCCCGGAGCGCGGCGCTGCCTGAGTAGCGAGGACGGCGTCGCCGAGCGAGACCAGGGTGGCACGCCCTGCAGCTGCTCGACCATGTTTATCAGCACGGTCTGGGTGAGCTCGTGCAGCGCGATCTTGGTCGAGTCGTTCACGTTCTCGTCGGCGGTCTTTCCTTCTTCGGCTAGCAGATGGGGCACTGCGGGAGGTAGAACGTTCTTCGCTGGAAAATGACATGGTTGAGACTGTGGGCTGCCGTCGAACAGACTGCTGTTCTGCTTCAGAAAGTTGAGGGCGAGAGCGCCAGACTCCAGGGCCTTCGCGGAGCCACCGCGTGGGAGCTGCAGCAGCTGGGGAACGAGCGGGTCGACGTCCAGCGGGTCATGGAGGTGAACGACGGCGACGTCAGCCAGGCCGAGGTCCAGCTGGTGCACGGCGACGGAAGTCGGGGCGCACGACAGCGCGATATGGATGACAGCCTGCAATGCCAGCACAATGAGCAGGAATGGGCGGCAGCATGCCCCTGAGTGTGGCGGCGGAACGCTTGGGTGCCAGCTCACCCCGGGTGGTGGCTGGAAACAATTGGGGTCTGGCCTCGGCTCAGAGGTCTCCATGCGGCCGCAGCGCGACATGGTGACTTGAGCCAAAATGGCTACGGGAGGAGGAGGAGGAGGTGGAGGAGGAGGAGGAGAAACGGAACGGAACGGAAGGACCCGCGGGGGAGCACGATGATGATGGTGATGATGATGATGATGATGACGATGATGACGATGATGACTATGAGGAGGATGAGGAGGACGAGGAAGAGGAGGAGGCAAAAGGAAGAAGAGGAGGAGGGAGAGGGGCGGGAATAAATGGAGACGAAAGGGAGGGCGATGGCTCCGAGAGCTGGGCGGCCAAAGGGGGGAACGGGGGGGGGCCTTCAAACCCCCCCTCCCTTTTGCACCAAGGGAGGGAGGGGGGGGGGCTTCCAAAGCCACCCCCCCCTTTCAAAGCGCGCGCCGAAACGTCACCCCAGCTCCATTAAAAGGAGGGAGGGTGGGGTAGCTTGGTAGCCCCCCCCCCTTTCCCGGCCACGAAAAGAGGGGGGGGGTAGCTTCCGAAGCCCCTCCCCCCCTTTCAAAGGGGGGGGTGGCTCACCCCGGCTCATTTAAAGAAAGGGGAAAACGGGGTAGCTTGGACCCCCCCCCCTTCCGGACCATGAAAAGGGGGGGAAGGGGGGGGGGGTCCGAAGTTCCCCCCCCCCTTTAGCAATGAAAGGGGGAGGGGGGTAGCTTCAAACTGGGGCCCCCCTTCTGGTCCGTCGGGCCCCACGAGCGCGGTCTATCAAATGTTTCGGGACGCGTGCGGACGGTGGAACTGGCGCCTTCGGTGGGGCTCCCCATGGGGCCACGAAGCGCTGTACTGGCTGGGCGAAACGCAGGAAGGGGAGCGCGTTTCTCTATGTTCGGCGATGACGGGCGTCATGGAAGGGGGGGGGGCGAAGGGAGGGGTATGACGTAACGCCCCCCCCGCCGTGCGGTTCCGGCACCGCAACCGCGCCCGCGCGCGCGACACGACGAACGACGAGCGACAAGCGACGAGCGCAGCGACGAGCGACGCGCGACGACGACGACGACGAGCTCCCTGTGGGGCCACGAAACGCTGAACAGGGTGGGTGGAAATGCCGAATTGGATGTTTCAGGACGCATGCGGACGGTGGCACCAGGGCTTGCGGTGGAGCTCCCTGTGGGGCTACGAAACGCAGTACTGGGTGGGTGAAAATGCAGAATTGGATGTTTCGGGGCGCGTCGGGACGGCGGCACTGGAGCCTTCGATGGAGCTCCCTGTGGGGCCACGAAACGCTGAACTGGGTGGTGGGGGGGGGGGGGGGGGGGGGGGGGCTGTGGGGGTGGGGGGTGGGGGGTGGAGCGGGAAGGCGGGCCAGCCCGGGGGTGGGGGGGGGAGGGGGGCGTGGGGGTTGGGAGGGGGAGGACGGGAAGAGGGTGGGGCGGGGGGGAGGGGGAGGGGGCGGGGCGTGGGGGGGGGGGGGGGGGGGGGGGGGGGGGGGGGGCTTGGGTGGGAGGGATAGGCGGGGAATGGTGGGGGAAGGGGAGGAGGGGGGGGGGGTGGAGGGGGGAAGGAGGGGGGAAGTGGGGAGCTCGTGGGGGTGGGGGGGGGGGGGGAGGGGGGGGGGGGAGCCGGGGGGGAGGGGGGGTGAGCGGAGGGGGGAGAGTGGGGGCCTCGATTTGGCGGGGGGGGGGCGGTTGAGGGGGGGGCCCAGGTCGGGGAAGGGAGGGGGGGGGGGGGCGGGGGGGAAGGGGGGGGGGGGCGGGAAATGCTGAATCAAATGTTTCGGGACGCGTGCGGACGGTGGAAATGGCGCCTTCGGTGGGGCTCCCCATGGGGCCACGACGCGCTGTACTGGCTGGGCGAAACGCAGGAAGGGGAGCGCGTTCCTTTATGTTCGGCGATGACGGGCGTCATGGAAGGGGGGGGGCTGAGGGGGGGGGGGATGACGTAACGCCCCCCCCCCCGCCGTGTGGTTCGGGCACCGCAACCGCGCCCGCGCGTGCGACACGACGAACGACGAGCGACAAGCGACGAGCGACGAGCGACGCGCGACGACGACGACGACGACGACGCGAGCAGCATGTAGGTGGCGATATGCCCACTGCGCCTGTGTACACCACAGCGCTCGCGTGCAGCACAGCGCGCGTGTATACCACAGCGCCTGCGTACACCACAACAACCGTGTGCAACGCAGCGCTTGTGTACACCACGCTGCTTGCGTACACTACAGCGCCGGTGCACATGTGCACACATCATCTACCATGTGCAACACAGCGCCTGTGTACACTTCAGTGCTTGCGTGCACCGCAGCGCCTGTGCACGCCACAGCTCGCGTCTACACCACAGCATCCGCGTGCAACGCAGCGCTGGTGTACACCACAACGTATGCGTGCATAGGACAGGTAGAAGGAGCATGTACGTGAGGATCTGCTGCAGACATTCAGACGCCACGCCAGGAAAGTGTTGATAATCGAGTGCGACGTTCTTCCCTCCTCCCTCCTCCTTCACCTCCATCGCCACCTCCTCCTCCTCCTTTTCCTTTTCCTCCTCCTCCGCCTCCTCCTCCTCCTCCTCCTTACCCCTTGTCGTGCGAATTGGCGCTACAGCGCACGTGCGCATCCCAGCGCGCACCGCAGAATGGTCTATTGAATCGGTCCACTGGGTTCTCAGACGGCCAATTTATCTCGAGCCTCCTGGACGCAGACGGGAGGAGTTAGGGTGATGCGGGCGGACTCGGGAGGACTCGTAGATTCCAGCGGCACTCCGTGGTCCATAACGATTATTTTCTATTGTTATCTGTGGACTCCACAAGCGTTCCATTTTGTCATAAGGATTCGTTCTAACATTCTATATGCGACAGTGGTGCTGTGTTGCGCACGGTTGTTGTGGTGCACGCAGGCGCCGTGGTGTACACAGGCACTGCAATGCACGCGTGCATTGTGGTGTGCACTGGTGCTGTGTTGCACACGGCAGATGTGGTGCACGCAAGCGCTGCGGTGTGCACAAGAACTGTTGTGCCCGCAGGCACGGTGGCACAAACTGACGTTGTGTTGCACGCGGCTGCTGTGGTGTACATAAGCGGCGTGGTGTACACAGGCGCTGTGGTGCGCGCAGGCACTGTGGTGTTGCAATTCGCCACCTACAAGCTGGCGCGACCCGACCTCCCAGGCGCCGCCGGCACGAAACGTGACGTCATCGACCCCCTCCCCCCCCCCCTAGATGATTTCCGCCATCGGCCCGGAAAAAAAAAACAGGCTTCGGCCGCGTCCGCGCGCACGACGACTATGAGCGACGAGCGACAAGCCACGAGCGACGACGACGACGACGACGACTGCGGACCAGACTCCTATGCGGATTCCTATGCGGACACCTACGCGGATCCCAATGCGCACGGCGGCAGTGCCCGGAGCGCACTGGGGGGCGGGAGCGTTACGTCATAGGGGTGGGGGGGGGAGCGGGGGCCATGACGCCCGTCATGCCCCAAGCAATAAAGAAACGGGTTCGAGGGAAGAGGGTGGGAGGGGGAGAAGGAAGGAGGAAGGAGGGAGGGAGGAACGCGGGGACCGTCTCTTCAAAACGAGGACCCAACACCACAGGAAGGCTGGGAACAAGGAGCATGACCGCAGGTGCTTCTGTACTTGCAGCTTCTGCGGGCCATCACTGGGCCTCGGGGCCGTCAAAAACATGCTCGGGACGAGAAACTGGACCGTGGGAAGGGGTCCAGACCTCTGAGGGTCTACGCCATTAAGAATCTCGACATCGAGGCTCTGGGGAGGAAGGCCAGGAAGAGGGGGGAGGGGAGGGCGCACCATAGCCCGAGGCACGATGTGCGCTGACGAGGGTGGTGCAAGGGGGGCTTGCTGAAGGAGGGGGGATGGGGCAACGACGTCGGGGAGACCTCGTGGCCCTGGCCACGGTCCTCCACCCCCCCGTCGACGCCTGGTGGTGTTCGACTCAGAATTCGTGCCTCATTCGGCCGTTCGGGATGTTTCGGGCACCCCCAGAAAGCTCTCGACGAGGTGCAGCTGCTGGAAAGCATCCCGAGGCGACACGACCTCCAAGAGGAACATGAGATCCACCCTCCCTGGTCACCACGTCCCTCTCCGACGCTTTTGACGCCCGACACGTGTAAGAAAAACATGGGAACGATGTCCAACAGCAAATGTTGACTAAAACAAATATCGGCCGAGTCGGGCAGGCAAACGGACAACGCACGCTGACTGATGTCGGTCGTCGCCACCATTTCTCCCGTACCCGTTTCGATCGTACCGAGACCACCACCTCCTATCCCACTCCTCGCTCCTCTGGGGGCGCAGCAAGGTACCGATCCTGCTACTCCCCGGACCTCTCCAGGGGTATCCAGCCGTGGCGACGCGCGCAGGGCGCCGGCATCGGCACATCGGTACATCTTACACCCCTCTAACCTTCGACGCCCCCAGCGCCTGGGACACGAGGGCGCGCTCCGCTGTAGAAGATGAAAGAAACACATAAATATAATCTTCTGGAGCTCCGCGCGGATTTCTTGGATCCGCGCTGGACCCTCCTCCCTGGCGCGCGGAGCGCGCCAGGGGCGGCGCCGGAGGCGACGCCGGGGGACTCAGGCGCGGATCTAAGAAATCCGCGCGGAGCGCCAAAAGTGTATGTTCATGTGGTTTTCTCTTCTCCGACGCTGGCGAGGCATCCCCTCGCAGCCCGGCCGCGCCGGCGCGCGCGGCGGCAGGCAGCAGGGCGAGCACGAGCGCAGCAGGGGCACGGGCCATCGCTCGCCTGCCGGGCGCCCTCCCGCGGCGGCCTGCAGGTGCCGTGCCGCGGGGGATGGCCAAGGGGCCCTGGCGGCCGAGCCCCGGGGCGGCCACCACTGCAGAGGAGGCACGGCAGGTTCGTGTCGTCCGGGAGCGGGCAGGAGGAGGTCCATCCGGGGGGACGAAAGGGGGGGAATAGCAAAGGGTAGGGTAGAGAATCAGCGTGGCTGATTTTCCCAGTCCCTCCCGGCGCCGGGAGGCTGCCATGTATCGAGGAATTGGCCCAGCTGCGGGGCCGAAACCAGCGTCATGCAGCATGCAGATTTCGTAACCCCCCTTTCCCTATCCCCCCCTTTCGTTCGGCCCGAGTCCAGGGGGCGTATCTGATCGGAGGTCGAGGATCGTGAGCGTCGCGACGCTATCGGTGCTGGTCTCTGACTCCACGTGCCTCGTTCAAGTTTGAGCGATCGGCTGCCTTTCGATCGCCACATCGTGCCGTATTATCGGATGATTCTGGGCCACCGGCGACGTTCAACCTTGAACGCCCGTAGTGGGGTCGCCGCTGCGTCGTCCTTGTACATTGCACGAACCTGCCATGCTGAACGATCAGAGGTGCACAGCAACATGCTCACAGAATGGAGCTCCAGAGCACACTTTCCTAGTCTTCACGCTGGTCTTCGCTGGGCCCCACGGCTGTCGCTCCTTCGGCCCTCCGCTGACTGCTCGCTGAGAGGCAGAGGCTAAATCCGGAGGCCCAAAATATTGTGAGGACAGACTGCGCGGTGACATCGAAATCACGACCGCACTGTCCGTTAGGACCTTGGAGGAACAAGCCCCAAAACCGTGCGTTCACCCCGAATCCCACTGAAGCACCGCACCGTTTGGGGGCCACCAGGAAAGGCGGCGATGCTCCTCCTGCTTCCCCCTACGGGGGAGAAGAGGGCAAGATCAGCCAGCATCGAACCGATAAAACAGATAGAACCGGAACTCGGATCGGGCTGCATCGGCACGGAGCCGAAAGCGACTCGCATCGGCTGCGCCGGGATGCACGACAGCGCCATGCCAAGCATCGGTCCGCGTCGGGCCGCGGGAATGGATCGGGCCAGCTGGAATCGAGAGCGAGTGAGATCGATTGACGTCGAAAGGGGCCCCGGAGAGGGGGGGAACAGCAGCGCGCAACGATGGACTGAGCGGGTGCCGTTCTCAACTCAGGGGCGGCACAGGGTGGGGCCTCCTCCTCCTCCTCCGCCACCACCAGGTCCGACCCGGCCAGAGGGGCGGGGCGGGGCGGGGCAGGGCCAGGCTCCTCTGGCCCAGGTCTGAAGGGACCGAAAACCAGAGCCCCTCCTCCTCCTCCTCCTTGGCTGCACGGCGCGCCGAAGTGAACGTGTAGTAGTCAGCGAGCGCATGCTGAGGGTACACCGTGCCGAAGATTGTCGTACGAGTCAGAGAGCGGCTCTGCGTATGCGTGGGCCGTGCTCGCGCTCGAACGGGGCGCGCTCGCGCTCGAAGAGGGGCAGCAAGAGACGGAGCGGCAGCAGGATCAGAAGCAGGGAACGGTCTGGAACAGGGAAGAGGCATTGTCCAAGGCCCCTGGCCCCTCTACTGAGCAGCTCAGACTGGCCAACATCACAATAAAACTCTACCGCCAAAGGCGATTCGAATGCGTAGGCATAGTCGTCCGATGCTTTGTCATAGTTGCTGAATGGCTTCTACTGGCACACGAACCGTCACGTAACATCTCGTTCGCATGGCTTCCGCAGGGCCGGCTTTCTTCCCATGACAGCGAGTGACCGTCGCAGGAACATGCAAGATCCTGCTTGTCAGGACCCTTCCTGTGTAACCAGAAAGGTTGGGTGGAGCACCTCTGGACACCTTTGATTTGACCGTCCGTGAAAAGCAAACATTCACGCACCATCATACACGACCCATTGCGCTACCAGGGTGGAGGAGGAAAGAGGAGGAGGGACAAGGAGGAAAAAGGGGAAGACGTGTAGACGTAGCATGAGGCGCGCTGGTCCATCCGAGGGGAAGCTGGAGCAAGAGCTGTGCTGAAGGAAGGGCCTCGCCGCGATCGAGCAGTGAAGCGACGCTAGAGAGGCCCGACCGAAGAACGAACGCCGAGCGAGGAGCCCGAGGGACCAAGGAGTAGCGCCCGCAGCCGAGGGATGGCAGAGTTCGC